CAGAGTCTCGGCGCACGCGCCAGATATCCATAACTGGGATAAAATTAAAATCTGTGCTATTTATGCAAGAATCAAATATAGCGTGAGTTTTCATGCTGTGTCTGGAATTCAGAAGACTCGGAAAGTTTACAAATGGACGCACACAACATATACTTATATTATTTAGAAACAGCAATGTATTATTAAGTCAAGAAAGCATGATTTATTCCCAGAGCTGCTGAGGAGTAATGTTTTCAGAATATCAGTATTTTGTGCACTGATGTGATCAGCTCCTCTAGCCCTCCCTTTGTTGTTGGCCTGTATTCAGCCCCTGGGAATTTCCCTGTCCAACGTCATGCCTTAGTCTCAACCACAACATTCTAACTTCAGGGCAGTTGCTGCCTTGGGAGTCCTTGAATGCCGCAATTAATTGGCTAGTAAAATGCTGGGCAGAAGAAGTGTGGAGGTTGGTGTGTGCAACATACACTCTGAAGCTCTAATGCATATGTTATTTTCCCTATACAAAGAGTCAGTTGCTTATTTAGAAATATAAATATTTTTAAACCAAAGTATAACAGACAGCTAAGGAACACATCATTATAATGTAATCCACACATTTCTTAGAATAGCAAATGCTTAACTGTCTTCTAACCATTCAGTTTCATGGTTTGGTGTATATGCTTTGGTGTAAACTAGTGAGTCCTAAGGAACCTGTGCTAGGAGAGACTACTCCTCTAACTCCAGGTTTCTTGATAGTGGTGTGGCTGACATTTTGGGGTTGGACAATTCCTTGTACTAGGAGGCTGGACTGTGCATTGTAAGATGTTCATCAGCACTCTGATCTCTACCCACTAGATGCCACCCTCTTCCTCCCCGGTTGAGACAATCAAAAGTGTCTGCAGACTAAGGAGAGGGACTGAGAGGGAGCCCAGATGAGAATCACTGCTAAGTAAGGCTCAGGGCATGAACCCCCCCTGCTCTGTATAAGTCAGTCCTTGGCATGACCCATGAGCAAGGTGGTGACATGGTGTGAGCTGGAGAGTGGCAACATGAGGGGCACAGCACACCGTGGAATCCACAGGAAGTTGAGTGAATCTCCCGGCACCTTCCTTCCTTGAGGCCGCACTCACCCCTGCTCTCTGTGGTTGTTCCTAATTTACACTGTGTCATCTTTACTGCTTTCTCATTCATTCGTCAGCTCTGGTCTGTCCTACCTGCCTTGGTTTTGTTGACCTCAGTGGAGATGGAGAACAGGTGCGTATAGCTTTCCACGTAATGGGGCCCCAAACACATCGAAGACAGTCAGTCTGTCCCTCTGTGTCTTCACTTCCCATTGTAAATAATTAGCCCTTTCAAAAAATTTTTATGGGTCTCCTTTTCAATTCCTCTACCACTTTGGTTAGTTTTCTTTGCAGTTTTCAAATTCACTATGTGTATCTAAGTGAACTTTACACAAAGTCATGAATACACAGAATAAAGCGCTGGTGTTCAAGTAATAATAATTAATGCACACTATAATTTATTAAAAGCCTGCCATGTCTGAAGCACAGTTAGGTGTTCTGTGCACACTGTGACTTCTTATCCTCATAGTACTCTATAAAGTAAGTTTAATTTTCTTCAGTTTGTTGATGTGGAAATTAAGAAATGATCAATTAAGATACTTCCTTAAAGCCACATCTTTATTTTAGCACATTGGCAATCTGGGAGCACAGATCTGACCTGGGCTAGCATGCACTTTCTCCAGCCAACTAAGAATTCCCTGGGAGCCTCCAGTCTGTATGTAGTATACTTGCCCTTTATACTTAATATTTTAAAACAGGAAAAAACTACAGATTTCTAACGCAAGGTATATTCTGGATCTGCTAAAAGGTCATTTCCCCACCTGCCTACTCAGAAATGTGACTTCCCACTTCCAAATTAAGATAACACCAGTGTACTGAGCATCTCACTTTTAGGGAATTTTACTATGACATTATTTTCAAAAAAAGTTAGCCTTCCTTTCTAAAAACACAGCTAAGATGACCAAGATTTAAAAAAAAGACAAACTTTGAAAGGTGGGCAAATGACCGCCTGTGTTTTCTGAATGAGGTTATTCATTACCCAGGCAAGTGAAGGACATAGTTAAAGACTGGAATGTTTCCAGGTCCTGCCTTGGCTACAGAAGCTCAGTGCTCAGGGCTTTTTTTCTGTGGGGGCAGTGACAACTGTGGGTCTTTCTTGACTTCACACCTCTCAAAATTACCTTGGGTACAAAATCAAGGCCTGAATCACACTCATTGTGACTCAGCTTCCAGCCTGCCTGCAAAAATATTATGACTTCACCAGTTCGACTATAAGATGGATTGTGTCTCTCATCTCCTCCTACTCCAAAGATGCCTAGTGCTGCAGCAGAACATAAAGGCCAGGAGGCTGGATCAGAGGAACCCACACTGAAGTACCTGTGTCCTAAGGTGCCACAGGAGCTGAGGAGCACACCCCCCATCAAGCCGTGTGGAGCTCACTGGAAAAATCCACACAATAGAAACTACAGAGGGGTCACTTCTTTACCAATCAGCAAAATACTGCATCACTGTGGAGTCCAAAATCACCAAGTAAAAATTCTTTCTGAGAGGCAAACCATAACATGTATGTTTTTTCCCCCAGAATATGCCACATCTAAAAGAAGCAGGGAGAGCTCTAGAAGTCCTTCACTTGGGCAAAGCTGGTGTACTAACTATGACCCCAGGAAACTGAGTCCCTTTTTAGGCCAAACTGACGGTCCATCTGTTACTCTTAACAAACAAGTGACAAAGACTGAATAATCAAACAACAGTCATCAGGAAAATAGCATTATTAATTTTTTTAATACTAAAATAAAACCAGAAACAGAAACACATAAATATAAGCAAAACAGCTCCTGGTAATAAGTGCCAAGTTTTGATGCTAGCTACGCTTCCATGCTCAAGCTGGACAGAGCTGGGAACAAACAGCACCTCTAATTCTAACATGCACAGGTATTTGGTAAGGTTGGAGGGGAACACATGATTTTACTAAATACGGAAAACAATTGGTAATCTCACTGCAGATATTTTTCTCAAAAGAAAAAGGACAGGATTAGATAAGTTAGGGACGGTAACTTTCCTTCTCTCCCTCTACCTGCAAGGCTTAGATATAGTTAGCACTTGTCTACTTACTGAGCAACAAAAACATTAGGAGACCAGGAACAGGGATTAGCTAGGCAATCACTGTGTAAATATTTCGCAAAACTGTGTTTCGTCCTAAAATTCAATCTGTCCCAGTTTTTTAGGCTATGAGGGGTATAAGGTGCGTATGGATGAAGCTGTGCGTGACGCGTCTTGTTCTTACTGTGGTAAAGTGAGCAGAAGTGTGCTCATGAAACTACTTATTCTCTTGTTTACTATCTCTTTTCTTATTATACCTAAATTCCTTCAGTGTACAAACCTTTCTTGACTCTTCATGGCTGTATCCACTGTTATATAATTAGCATGTGCATGGCCCTGGGTTCAATCTCCAGTTACACACACACACACACACACACACACGCACACACAGACTAGTATATAATGACTCTTCAACAAATATGTCGCTCAAATGAAAGAAAATCCACCAGAAGTTCTACTATCAACTTTGAAATTGAAATCTCAGGGCTTGATTTTTTCCTATTTAAACTCATCAAATCAGGGCCAATCTCATCCAGTGTTGATCTGACCTAAGTCCATAGTTCCTGAAAAGTATGAATCTACCAATCTCTTGCTTCAACTTTTGTTAAATTGTATTTAACAAGTGTCTCATTGGCAATCTGATCAAAATTTGTCCTGGATTTCTGTATGTCACCTGAGTCCAATGTCTATATTAGTATCCAAGTCCTCCATAATTTAGCTAGAACATACTTTTCTAGTATTCCTATATTCTTTTCAGGCACGAGAACAACATGATACAATTCTGTAAACATGTTTTGCTTCCACTGATCTCAATGGTTAAATCATTCCTTCCCCTCAAGCAGTGGGTTGAATGATGCCTCCCACAAAAATATACATCCACCCCTAACCTCAGCATGTGCCTTTACTAGGACATGGGACCACTGCAGATGTAACTAGTTAAAATGAGGTTATATAGCATCAAGGAGGGCCCTAAATTCACTGACTGGTGTTCTTAAAGGAGGAGAAGGCACAGGGAGACACACAGGGAATGAGGTCACAGCAGGATGGAGACAAAGTTTGGAGTGATGTAGCTACAAGCCAAGGATGCTAGAGAACCCAGGATGCCATCAAAAGCTAGGAAAAGGTAAGGAAACATTCTTTGCTCTTGCCCTCAGAGGGAACATAACCCTGTCAACACCTGATTTTGTACTTCTCTGCCCCAGAACTGTTAAAAAAATACATTGTTTTAAGACTCCCTCTTGGTAGTCATTTATTATGGTAGCCTTGGGAAACTAAAATGCCCCATCTTGAGTTTTCTCTGACTGTTGAACCATTATGAAGGGCTCATTAAAAGCTACCTTTGTTTATCATCTTTTTCCACCGGAATAGAAATGTAACACTCAGCACTCACTGTCTTGCACGTCCTGTGCACACATTCACTTCCTCAAGGAGGCAGCTCCTGGGTCTTTTATACCCCTCTGTGACCAAACAAACAAGCACAATGAAGCATGGAATAAGCAAATAATGAGCATTTTCTGAATGCATGAACAAACAGTGTCCTCTCTTTTGCCACAGCCAACACAAATCTTTGGTTAGTTCTCATGCAGATTTCCTTCAAGTAAAACTTACTATCTTCCCTTTTCTCCCTATTTAAATATATCAATGTGTTTGGACAAGAAGGGATGGAAACTATTTTGCCGCAGTAGCCCTGTCTCAGCCAGTTCAGAAGTTTTTTTTTTCCCCTTTCATCCCAAGTATTTTCATTAACCAAGACCTCAGAACAATCTCATCCCGCAGACCCCAGAGACCAAAGATGTTTATTCAGAGCTGGAAGTGCACAGGTGTAGGAGAAGCCACATCTTGTTACTCTGAGATCAGCCCCCATGCGGAATTGTAAGGCAGATAGATATCCAATCCTGTCTCCTGACATGTGAAGACCAGCTTCCCACTGAGCTGTCATTGTGAGCTGAGGATAACAAATCCAGGCTGGGACAGATGGCAGATTCAATTGTCCTGGAATTCTCTGCTGTCTGTGGATCAGTGGGCTGCATCTCTGACCTCAGACCCAGCTGCCACAGCCCCTAGACTATCCAACAGGGTGACAACACCTTCCCTGGGGTAAGAAAGTGGTGCCTTTCTTTAAAACTGAGGGTTGTGGGTCATACACACCTGGGGCCAGATACCAGCGGAATTACTAGGAGTCATGTGACCTTAAGCGAAGATTGTTCAGTCTTTCTGAACTTTCATATTCACCACATAGGGTCTTCTGAGAATTCTGTATGACATGGTATAAATCACACACCATAATGTCCATTACCTAGTAAATGCTCACCAAAGGTATCCATTGTTGTTACAAATAATATTGTTACTAATTTTCAAATGCTCATGTAACTTCAAGTTGGTGCTCTCTGACCTTTAGGAGGGCAGTATTTAGATACTTAGAAAATTGTTCATAAGTAAACAAGGGATTGTAAACAACCAGTGGCAAGTAATGTGATGGAACACAGGATCAAAAGACTAAAGTTGGGCCAGGCATTTGGCTCAGTGGTTCTGCAGCCCACCTCAGAAGCGCAAGGTCCTGAGTTCAATCCCTAGTACCCCACCCCACCCCAAAGACTAAGGTTGACTCATGACTTCACTGCTTATCAGTTGGGTGACTTAGTTAAGTGATTCCAGCTCTCACTGGCTATGGAACTTACTAAGCTGTTGAGCACCCCTAATTGAACATCCGAAACCCGAAATCCAACACCACAGTGATGCTTAAACAAGTTTTTGATTTTGGTGCATTTTGGATTAGAAAACTCTATGTAGATAAATGCCCAAACTGGAAATAATTCTAGTCCCAAGCATGTTCAGATAAGAGATACTCAACCTGTACTATATTTATGGCTAGTAGAATATACACCATAGCAACTATCGTTCTTTTCAGGGAATCTACCATAGAAATTCCTTTCAGGTTTCTTTATCGAGTATTTCTGAAAATTTCCCAGACAACACTTTGTTTTCTTCACTCTCATGGCAGTGGGAATCTCAGAGTCGAACCTGAAGTCCAAGACTAACAAATACCAGTACCCTGTATCTCCAGTAAGTCTCCAAACTCTTGACTGCCCTTTTCATGCTTTCAGTTGCACTTTCTACTGCTTTCATTTTATTTCACATTTGCCTTAATTTACTCCTTTGTTTTTAATCCTAGAGCTCTGCAGGAAATATACTTAAGCTACCTTACATCTTTTATGAAATAAAGTAGACCACAAATAAATGCTACATATGGAAAAGGCAAAAACAAAATAAAAAAACCCAAACTCTTTCTCAGCCTCAAGTTTTATACACATAAAACAGCTGTTGCTCACAGTGATGGAAGATGAAGTGACTGGATGTGTAAGCAGCCCTTTGTCATGGTCTTAGGGTTTAATCCTTTTGTTTCCTCATTTTGAATTCTCAGCTTAGAAAAGTCATTGGGCTTCTTAGGCATCAAAGCCCTGCGCAAACCAGGCAGCAATATGGGGAAAGAAGAAAGCCAACCACAGAAATGGAGGATTCACCATTTCTGCTTGCTTGGCAACAGCACCACTAATGGCCTCCACCCAAGCTGTGAAGGGGCACAGAGCCACTGCAACACATGGGCTGGGGGACCGGAAGCCAGGTGACTGAGGCGGAACACCAGGCAGGACCACTCAGTCCAAGAATTCCTGCCTAAATGTTGCTATGCTGCTTTTCCCAGCTTGCAGGTAGACATCCTAGCCAGCAACAATCTCACGTCTCATTACCGTGCAACAGGGAGAAGGAAAACCCGAGGATGCTACACGTTGAGCTTTCTATGGAATTTGCAGCACATATGTGTATGTCAGAAAATTTACTGGACAAAGGCAGTGGCTCAGGGAAAACATGGATACTTTACAAATGCCCCCCAAAATATCGAGATTTCATCTAGTGAAGGACATCTCAGCAGGGAAGCAGATGCCATTTACTGCTTTTGAGGTCTGTGTGACAAATGCTGAAAAGCTATCCAAGGTTAAAAGCAAAGGAAGTGTGATAGGAAGGAAGAGGAAGAAAGTAAGAGAGGGAAGGAGGGAAAAAAGAAGAAAGGCAAAGATCAGTACATGGAAATGGAAAGCAAGACTGGCAATGGATATTCTAGTAATCTTTCTCCAATGCCCTGCAGCTTGAATCTTTTCAGGATAAAGCAGATCCTATATAAACACATTTTCTTTCCGATGCAAAAGCAGCTTGATGTTTAACAGTGTTTTAACTGAACAAGAGTAAACTCAAAACAAAAAATAAAATGGACTTAAGAGAAATACCCCTATTGACCAGTGGGAACCAACATTTATGATCAACTCTTTACCCACTATGTCCTGGATATAATAATCTCTCCAGCAAAAGGTTAAACAGTGTAGGATTCAAAACCAGAATTTCAGGGCCAGGGATTCAGCTCAGTGGCGCTGCACCTGCCTCGCAAGCACAAGGTCCTGAGTTCAATCCCCAGTACCCAAAACAAAACAAAACAAAACACCACTAAAAAAAAACCCACCAGAATTTCAGTTCAATGCTCATTCTATGTGTTTTCTAATATATATCAGGCCGTTTTTATTTTTTAAAGAATTCTTTCTCTCTGTTCATTTCAAGGGAAATTCTACATTTCGCTTTGGAAGTCATCATTTTGATCTCTGCCAAAATAATTGCTTACAAGCACATACAGTAGCTCTTCAAATGTTACATTTGCTTTCACCCACACATTTTGTTTTGCATTCATTCCTTCCTCAGGTGCATCCCACACATGGTTGTGGATGGCAGAGGATTCAGAATGTGCCCTGCGGAGGTGTTCACTGCAGAATCCATCCCCTTTGCCTCCCTCCAGGTGGAGCAATCCCTTTCAGCAGGAAGGTGTTTTTATTATGTGGGCTGTCGTGGTGCTTATCACTATGGTTTCTTACCTGGAAGAACAAGAAACCAAGGCAGAAGTGGTACTACTGTAGCCTCAAGAGAGTACTTGGGATACCACTACGCGTTCCTCCCACTGGCACCCAAAGGAAACAAGGAGGAAGGTTACCTCGGTGCAGCACGATGTGGTCAATCATGTTGCGTTTGTATTTGGTGTGATAGAGGCAGAGAGGACAGCGGAGATCTTTGGGGCCCTCCTCAGGAACTGCTGAATGCCCAGCTTCCACGTGCATAGTAAAAGCAGATCTAGGAAAGAGGTTGAAGAGACAGGTGGTGAGTTTGACAAGAGGTCATTTCTTTCACACATCTCTTGCCAGCAAACCCATCATAGTTGAACAAGCGTGACTTTCCTGATTGGGGGGGTGGGTGATCAAAAAATAAAAGTTATCCGTCATGTCTGCTAACTACAAGTTCCTTGCTAACTCAATAATAATCAAACACATAAATACAGTGGCAACATTATTATTTGGAATTTTGCCAGTTGGCTGGGATCAGGGCTTGATTTAGAAAATAATATGGTCCCTAAACACCTTCATGGAAATTAGAAATCGCATATTAATGCTATGAAAACAAAATCCCCAAGAGGAATGTTTCTCATCATACTGTGAGAAGGACTATTTTAAAGCTTGGTTGATTTACAAACTTCCTACTTGAGTTGTCTCGGGGGAAAAAGGGTACAAGCTGTTTAGGTGATGATGGCTGTTGAGTAGGGAGACTTAGTTCACACAGTTGTACTAGCTTCAAGGTCCTATCACCTTTTCTTCCACGCTTTCCAAATCCTCAATATTTCCAAACCCTTACATGTTTCATAAAAATGGATGAAACCATAGGTTAATGGGCAAGGATCCTTTCTTATCAAACCTTGTGCTTTTCTCTGGAGAAATGTGTGCACTGACAGTAGGCCCGATACTGTGCCCTGTAGCCTGCTTTCTGTTCTAAATTCCAAAATATTCATCTGAAAAGTAACTGGCCCAAGTTAACAGTCCGAGACATAACAGTTCCTACCAAAGCCCAGCAACTAAGATGTCTGGGAAAAAGTTTCTTCTTCTTCCAATTCATCTTTCTAGTGGCTCATGAAGCTTAATTTCCACTGCCTCTCTTGTGCAAAACCTGCATTGAAATGTTCTAAGGTTCAGGTCCTGTTTGCAACAGGAGTGGATAATAACTACTTTAAATGAGCAGTATAGTACTGGTGTTATGTTACCATAATAGCTTTTTCTCTATTATAAAGTATACAGTGCTCACCAGTGTTTATTGTAAGCACTTCAGATACACTGATTCATTTACTACTCATAAGGGTCCTATGAGATAGGTATCTTTAGTTTTCAGATACAGAAATGGAGACTCAGAGATGTTCAGTGACTTATCTCTAAGGTCACACACCCATCAAGTGGCAAAACTGGGATTCAAACTGGGGCAGTCAGGCTCCACATTTTATACCTGTAACCACTGACTTAAATGATATCTCATAGGATGAGATTACATCACAGGAGAGGTTTAGATTCTATGGTAGAAAGCATTAACTTTTTTTTTAATTGAGTTCACCAATTCTGTCATGTACAGGAGCAAAAGTGAGTGTGAATTATTTTTTCCTCGGTCTGTCTGTCTACGATGACTCAAGCCTTATCTTTGCAGTGCTGGGATCTTGAATCTCTTTCTTTCAATACTACAATCTTAAAGAAGAATTTTCCACCAGGAGAGTAGAGAGGTGAGCATTGCGGATGGTTTCTCTTAAGTTTGCTTTCAAAGTATATAAATACTGGATATAAAATGGGGAGCGGGATGTTCTCTGAGGGGAAAGTTCTTGTCGATTCAATGGGCTAGAGAAGTTCGTTGTTGCAATTCTGCACTGTTTGGGAGCCCATTTGCTCTGATTTTTAAACTCATTGGTTCTGATGCAGCTTTTCATCCTTTCCACAAATCCCAAAGTAGTCTTCTTGCTTTTGGGAAGGCTGGACCAACCTCCACATCAACCCGGTGGGCATGGCCTCCCCTGAACTCTGGCTGGTAAAGTATAAGGGGAGAATGCAGCGAGGGGCGGGGCAGATGCAGCCGCGGTTTCTCACAGTTGTTCTTCACACCACTTACTTAAAGCCTGTATAAAAGGAGCAGTCTTTGCACTTGAAAAGCTTCTTTCCTCCATGCTTGTCTCGATAATGGCGTCTAATGCTCTGGATGTAGCCAGAGGAGAATTCACAGAATTCGCAGTGAAGAACAGCTTCAGCTTTCTGCTCAGTGCCAGCAGTGGCTCCAGCAAGAGGCACAGGGCTAACGCGGCTGTTGTTTCTGGCCAGGGCGGCTGACTGATAGTGGTTCAGTTGCTGCTGAACGTCTGGGGGCTCGGAGTAGGATGAGTCTGTGGAGAGAAGGGCACAATGACATGGGGCAAAGAGAACACAGTAGGGGCTGATGCTTGAGAACCCCCAGTGTTAGGGTCGGCCCCCGCCAGTCTCACTGAGGCGTAATGGAGAAATTAAAAATGTCCCTGTTTAAGGTGTACAATGCGATGACCCAGTAGATGTTGACACTGTGAAATGATTACAAGTTAATTAACACATCAGTTTCCTCCCAAGATTTTCATTTTTTGGTGTGTGGTGAGTACATTTAAAATTCTAGCACATTTCAAGTGCATGATACAGTATGATTAAGTGTATCACCTGCTGTGTATTAGACCCTCAGAGCTTGCTCCTCCTCTAACTGAAAGTCTGCACCCTTTGACCAACACCATCTGATTACTTCTGAGTACTTTTTAAGGCTCACGCCTGTGATCCCACCTCTCCTCTTTGCTTACATTCTGTGATGCACACCTGGGAAACCACGTAGGGAGGAAGTGCCGCCTCTCTGCATCTGACTTTGAGGGCTCATGGCATTTAAAAATAAAATTCTGAGGTTAAGGTTTCAAAGCAAAGGAAGAAAGCAAACTGCTTTATTAAAGGAAACTGCAGCGTTGTTACAAGTTGCCACTAAATACCCGTCCTCGTAGGTGATAAATAAACCCTCATGGTGTACACAGGAGTCTATGAGGCAAGACAAGGGGTGATGCAATAGTCCCTCCTCTGCAGCCTGGAATTATGTACACCAGCCAAATTAAAAAAAAAAAATCAGTTTTTAACAGGAATGTTCAAGCACGTGGCACTCACATAAATATAAAAATGTTTTTTGCCTTTATAGTCAAGTGATTTAAATTTTAAAATACAAAAGTCTGATAGTGTTCTCCTGGAATGGATGCTTAAAGCTTAGTCAGCATTAAGATGGAGATTTACTCATAAATCCCATTAAAATGAAATTCCAAACAAGTTCCCTGAAAGGTATTTTAAAGCTTGCAATTCCGAGGAAAATGTCGGAAATGA